TAGCTTTCCCACCGTTAATTCTTGTTTCCTTTCATCTCTCTCTCTCTCCCTCTGAAACTTCAAAACTTGTAACTATAGAGAGAAAAACCTTAATTAAACCACACACTTCCTCCAGCATCAAAACTGGTCAACACATGGTTCATCTCTTTGCACTCAAACCCTTACTCACTTTTCTCGCCAAAACGGATTCTTTTAAAGCAAATTTCAAACAGCCTATCATTTTGAAAGTAAGTCTTTCACTTCACAAACTATCCATAAATGCCTCCAGATGTTTTCTTAAAGGACTTTTAAAAATATATTTATTTTTATTGGAAAGTTAGACTTACAGAGAGAAGGAGACAGAGACAAAGAGCCTTCATCTGCTGGTTCACTCCCTAAGTGGCCACAACAGCCAAAACTGAGCCAATCTGAATCCCGGAGCCAAGAGCCTCTTCCGGGTTTCTCACACAGGTGCGGGGTCTCAAGGCTTTGGGCTGTCCTCCACTGCCCTCCCAGACCACAAGCAGGGAGTTAGGAGGGAAGTGGAGTAGCCAGGACATGAACTAGTACCTACATGGGATCCCAGCAGATGCAAAGCAAGGATTTAGCTATGAGGCTATAGCGTCAGGCCATTTAAGGACTCTTAGTAACATTACCATCACCCTTAAAAAAATCATTTAAGAGGGGACACACATTGCACAACAGGTTATATTGCCACCTGCAACCCTGGCATCCCATACAAACACCAGTTCCAGTTTAGGCTATTCCACTCCCCAGTCAGCTCTCTCCTAATGCTCCTGGGAGGGCAAAAGATAACCCAAGTATTTGTGTCCTGCCACCCACACAGAAACCCACATGAAGCTCCTGATTTCGGCTTGGCCCAGCTGGAGACACTGTGGACTCTGCTTCTGATTCTAGCTTCCTGCTAACACACCCTGGGAAGCAGCCGACGATGGCTCAAGGGGTCGGATTCCTGCCACCCATATGACACTGAGCTCCTGATTCCAGCTTTGACCCACCCATTTCTGGCCATCACATGCATGTGGGGATAGGGTGCATGTGCAGAACCTCTCTCATTTCTATTTTTCACTTCTCAAATCATTCTAACTGGAAAGTGCATAAAAGAACACGTGCCAGAGAAAAGCAGCATGCAATAAAGTAAGGTGCCAAAGGACTTACAATCCTTTAGAAGAATGTGTGATTGATGGAATCCCCTAAGAGACCAGGAAAATCCATTTCTTTATTAGAAAGGAAATAAAATTGTCCACATAACCCAAACCATGCCTGCTCTGCCAGTGAGGCAAAATTCCTCCTGCTGAGCGAGAAAATCACATGACAAAGGCATTCAGGAATTCTTATGTGTTGAGCAATCAGTCCGTTCCTAAAACATGTGGCTGTTTGTCATAGAAAGCATGATCATAGGGAATCAGTTTAGAATACCCCTACAATATTTTTAATAGTATTGCACAGTTTTTGGAAAATGCCCTAATAATTTAAACTTTTGATGCTCAAACCAAAGCTAGGATGAACTGCTTGCTACTCTAAAATGAGAGAATGGCATTTTATACATTTTACAGTCCGAGATGGGGGCCAGGAAAATTAGGATAAATGATGAAAGGAAATTGGGTTGTCTCCTAAAACCGTTCAAAGAAATGAACTTTTCAACGAGATAAAAATCCTTAAAAATGTTAGCTTTTAACATGACGGTGATTTCTTCTTCTGGAGCACAGAAATGGCTAAATTTTGGCGTCCAAATTTAAGAAATATTCTTTATCAGATTATAACATCACATCTAATTACTCTCCTCCCAGTGTTAAATAGAATCTAACAATTATTCGATCATGCTATCTCATAAACCATATAACAAAACATCTATCTAGTAACTTGGCACATTTTCCCCCATGAAATGATTTTATCACAACTGTTCAGCAATCACTTTCAGAGGCAAAGCTAGCAAAGTGTATGGTATGGTATCGAACACAATTTGGCTCCCTAACTCATGCAGACCTTTAAATCCTCGAGTCACATACAAACCAATAGATTAAGGGTGGAAGCTTGATCCAAGGACAGCACCGGAGGAGTCTTTAGGAAGCCATCAGATTGGATTAAATAGTGTGGGTGGCATCCACAATGAGTCAAGGGTGGAGAATGTGCGACTCTGTCTTTATCTGCCTCCTGGCTCTTCAGGAGTTCCACTTCCCTTCTCCCAGGGCCACTCCATCTTAGACCGCGACCCTTTAAGGCATGCACCACAGAAACTTCCTTTCTTCCCAAGCAGACTCTCTCAGGTATCTGTTACACTGACAAAGAGCTGATCCAAAAGATATGAAAACACAGACCCTTCAAGGAACTTGAAAGTCAAACGTAACAACATAATTTCCCCTTAATAGAGCTCCCCTGTTTTCACTGAGGGATGAGGGGAGGATCTAGCATAAAGGACATAGCAGGGACCCAACACTCAGCTAGGGGATTTGTCTCCAAGTAACTTAGTAACTCTAGGCTAGGCGCTGTGCTAAACCCAAAGGACTAAGATCACACACTGTTGACCTGTAGATAGGTTAATTCGGGCCATGTGATTTTACTTTTATTATTTGAAGAAATGCTTAAAGGTTAACAGATCATACAACATCTAGCTACACAGCTTCATTTGAAAAGTTGAGTGACATAGGAACCTGGCCCCAGAATTCCTTCCCTGCTAACTTTTAGCAGTAACAGAAGAAACCGATCCCTACAGAAAAGGATACCCTCCTCCAAGTTGTCACATGTCCATCGTACCCTATCACTCCATAAAACACACTCAGAGCTTCACTCAGTTGTACTCCTAGTCTGACCCACATTTTATATCCCTACTTTAGAAAAAGAAAACGATACCCACCCACCCTTCCACCTACCCTCAGTGCCTAACAAGCCTGGACCTGGAGTCTAACGGAGAAGGCAGATGGAACAAGGACAGATCACAACAAGGACAAGTTCAATAGAAACCCTCATAGCTGCAAATAACCCCACCACAGGGAGACAAGGTATCTAAGTCACAATGACAGTGGAGAGGACATTTGAAAAGGGCTTTCAAAGGATGAGAAGAGACAGGCCAGGTTGGGAAAGTGCCAGCAAGTCACTCTCTATGTGCCAAGAGCTAGGGGGACTGAAGATCAAGGAGTTCTCTCTAATGGGGCAGAGAAGGGACTTCTATTGCCTACTACACTAGCAAGTTTGAATTTAAGTTTGGGACAGTGGGGAGTCAGCAAGTGATTCCCACAGAAGCTAGTATGACCAGATCTGGTGTCTCAGGGAAAAAAAAATGCTGTCAGCTATTTCAGCCATGACCTGAAGCCCAGAGCCCTTACAGGTTCACACTTCGCTGAGTATTAAGATGACCCCCTTGGCGCTACCCTCCTAATTCTCAGAAACTCTGTGCTTCCTGCCAGTGACGTATCATGACAAACTCATTGCTTTCATAGACAAACATGAATGAAGGCAGTTATCTGTCCTGAATTGGCATAATGAAAATATCCTGGAACAAACATACAATGCAGCCTTCCTACCGAAGAGTCAAAATGCAAGAGGCTAAGTCACCACAAAACATCCCGTTAAAGCCCATTCATTTTCCTTTCCCCACACACATAGCTACCCATGTGCATAGTACAAGTTTGATATTCCCCATGGTCAAACCACTGTAAACCTTTACTCAAACTCATTTCTCAATTACCCCTAAATAAGCCATTCAGAATAGTCCACGGTAACATGAGCTTTGATGCAGAGTATAAGGATAATTCAAATATATATGTATACATATATGACAGGTCCAAAAGAAGAGTCATTTTACTCAGGAACCCACTAACAAAGCAAAGGCACATAGAGGTCAAGACCAGAGACACCAGGGCTGCTGCTCGGAAATGAATAGACACTCAAAAAGCACACAGGTCTCCTCAAATCCATGAAAATTAAATCAACATAGATTTTTCTTCCTCACATCAGATCTCAGGGGAAGAAAAAAGCTAAGATTAGAAAATTAACAAGAGGCTTTTAAAACTGCCTCAAAGTTATAACAGCCCCCCAAAGTGTCTCTTTTCCAGACTTTTTAGTGTTGTAACAAACAAACCCATCTTTCACTTCTTTGTCATTTGCAATTACCATGACATAATTGAAAAATCACTGAATCACCATGGGGCTTTGGAGAGAGGGATCCTGCAAGCTCTGAGCTGTCACTATCACCATCACAAAACAAGGAAATATCAAGAATTTTCTCCTCGTCATTTTTAGCCAATGCATTGCAGAGACCAATAATAAGAATTTTTTTAAAAATTAAAAATCCTATCCTCTGTAATTCCCCTCTTTCCCTAAAGATGGCATAATATTTCAAATCATTTCCCCCCAAAATCATTGCTTTTCTTCATCAGCCAACATGAGGTCTGCATCAATAAACTTCGACATAATTTAGAATCTATTTGCAGAGTCAAAAATTCAATTAAGACAAACCAATCTTGGAAGGCATTGGAATATTTCAGCCAACTGGCCCTCATGTAACTTTGCTGGTGGAAGACACTGAATTATCTAGCAAAAGCCAAAAGGAACAGGGTAGGGCAGGGATAAAGGTCTTTTCTGCAATTCTTCCCCCATTAGCAAAGTCACACAAGGACCTGGGCTTCCCACCTGTGGGAATGCCTAATTTAAGGAGCATAGCTCTCTACTCCGCCCTGGGCTAGGGAACTTGCAGAGTTCACTGACAGGTGTCTAAATCTTACATCCTGCCATAGCATTTAACCAAGGTTCCTAACAGTGTTTACATTTACAGACTTTAAAAGGTCAACAGCAGAACCATGGAGCTCATTCTTTGTGAACAAGCTGTATTTCCATGACGTGATGAAACTGAGTTTCCTTCTGTAATTACAAGGAAGGAAACCAACTCACACTGGTCTAAGAAGTCACCTGTTCCGAAGAGGGAGTTTCCTGCCCTATCCCTTAATCCCCATGGCCTCTGCAGTTCCCACGGCCTCTGCTGTTGGATGGGCTGGGAGCCCTACCTTGGTTGCTTCCTCCACGCTCTCCCTCAGGGCCTGCAGCTCGGCATCATACTGCTCCTTCAGCTTGTCCATCTCCTGATCGTGGCTGGACACCTCTTCCTTCAAGGCTCCCTTCAGGGCAGTGAGTTCACGCTCCCGCTTTTTCAAGAGGTCTTCTTGCTCCTCTTTGGTGATCAGCAGATCTTGAAGGTCTTGCTTTGCCTGTAAGAGTTCCTAAAGAGACAGAACACATGGAAGAGAGGTGTAAAATCAAACATCTTTATCAGGCAGTCCTGCCTCTCTCCTCCAGTTCAGCTACAGCACCTCACCTGTCCTGCTCATTCTCTCCTCTTCCTCAGATCCCACTCCTGTCAAGACCATCTCTTACTCTACACTGCTGACCTTCTCACAAGTCACCCTTTCCTTGGATCCTTCTGTCTTTGCTTTGTGGAGATTTTGTTGTGGAAGTAAAGCAAAACTGATTTCATATCCATTGTCTAGATGTGAAAATCCATGTCTGGATTTTGCCACCTTGAGGCAATGGGTCTCTGTCCTTAAGTGCCATTGCCCTTTAAGTGCCACTGATTTGTGGGGGACATGCCAATGTGTTGCCTGGCTTGGTTCATGTCCTCCTGGAATCCTGCATGTGGTCCAACTGCTAATCCACATTCCTAATCCTCCAGGGATGACTTTGGCCATTTGCCTTCTACCTCACTGGCCCATCTGAGCAGAACAAAGTACTCATATTCTCTCCTCCTCAACTCCCCAGAGTTTATCAAAGTCACACAACTGGGACAACAACTTCCACCATGAATCATTTTATCCAAGCTCAAGAGGGGCCTGCCAAAGACCCAACCTTTTCCTTTCTTCATTTTTGTCCTGGACTTTCCTGGCACTCCCGGAGGTGGGTACATCCTCCCCAGTGCATGCCCTTCTTCCCTATCTCAATTCTCACTGCAAAGCCACCTCAAGGAGGAGGAACTGGCCCCGACCAGCGTGCCCCCAGTCTTTACTCTGATTCTTTTCCATTCCTTAAATCTTGGGCTACATCTCCCCTTCATGCTGTACCATTCCAGACCTTTAAACCTCCCTTGCATGACCACCCATTCGCTCCATAATGACTTGCTACATAACTTCTGTCCCTACTCTGCTAAGAGAGCCCCAAGGTCATCCCTCCATTTCCTTGATCCCTCTCTTTGATCTTCCCTGCCTGTCCCCTTAAGATTATCTTCTTCCCTGTGGTTCAAAGACAACATAAGCCCCTCTTTTCCTCCCTCGAGTCACTTTTTCTGTGATAATCTTTTCTGGCTTTGTTCTCCCTCTTTCCAGAAACTAAGAATCATCTCCAAGAATGCAATTTTGCCTTCTTTATCCTCCCTGGGCAAGCTGATGTAATATTTCCAACTATTAATTCTACACAAATGACCACCAAGCCTTTACCTCCAACTCTTCTCTCCAGCCCCACAGCCAGTAACCTGCTAGACATAACTGCCTAGGTCTCGTGGGCACTGTAGGTTCCATGGGGTTAGTTTCAAGTGTCACCACCAAGCTCCTTTCTTTCCTCTTATTTTGCTCATTTCTCTCGAGGATAGCACCCCCTGGCACTTAGCAACAACTTTTTTTTTTTTGGTGCTAGTACCACTCGTCCCTGGTTTCCCATATTACCTCCTATGCAGAAGTTGGCCACAGCCACCCAGCTGTTCCCACACATCATCACTCACTTGTGGCCTTCGGGACAACATGCACATATCCACACAGCATCCTCTGGGTGGGAGACCTTCACTTTCAATCCCACCTCAGTATCTCTCAGGAAACCTTTGAAGGCACTTCTTGGAAGGCCTTTTCCAAGAAGCCTGCCAGGAATACCCCTTTAAGTACTCCCTAGACTTGAGCTCTTCTCACTGTACTTAACACTTTATACCTTGTTATGTATTTTGATAGCTTTGTAAAAAAATCTCCCCACCAGACTGTCAGCTTTATAGTAGGATCTGATTTACTGCATTTTTGATTCACAAATGAATGATTTATGTGCCTTTGTTCTGGATATAAATGTATTAACATGTACACAACAGCAGGGATCTGATGATGTGAGAATCTCAGATAGTCTACTCAGGCTCTCAGAATAAGCACACAATTCTATTCTCCGGGCACTCTTTGGGAACGGGAACAAGGACTGTGATGGAGCCCAGAACCATCAGAGATGCTAAGCTGCTTTTCCCTTCCCGAGGAGGAGTGCAAACATTTACATCAGCTTCAGTGTAACCCACAATGAAATTGCCTTTTTTCTCTAGAACATGCAAACCCATCAATCTGGGGTAACTTCCACAGTCCCTGAGTAAAGCTACTCTGCACAGGCTAGGACAGAGTGCCATCAAGTATCTAACTAGATTGCACAGATGAACTTAGAAGAACCAAGAGACCTATCCAGAGTCACAGTCCTTTAAGGAAGTACTCTTCCCCAATCCCTCACCACTGCAGCTGTGGGCTATCCTTGGAGGGCTTCCCACAGCCTCCGGCACAGCAGCCCTTGCAAGCCTGATGCCTGTTTCTTGCTTTTACTCTCACACTTTTCTCTGTTGTTTCCAGGGGCAGGCAGTTCCTCTTCCCACACTTATCTTTTCCAAGATTTATCTGTGCTTTGTGCTGCCTTTGTGTTCTGTCGCCTGCCTGCCCAGGGTTTTAAGGTCCATTCTATACCAACTAGCTGTTATCTCTGGCTGGGTCATTGCTTAAGTGACTGGACTACACACATCCAACCAGATTATACCTTGTCTTGACTTAAAGCTTTCCAGTGTAGAGCCCAAAAGGCACAAGAGGTTCCAAAAACTTGATTCTATTGCTTTAAGGCTTACTTATTTCAACTTAAAGAAAGGCAAGGAAAACATATAAACTTCAAAATACAAGTAAACATCCGTTAGACATGAACACACCTCTGTGCAGACGCCAACCAAAGAAAACACAAGGACACTCTGCTTATTCAAAAAAAAAAAAAAAGCCATGTTTTCACAATCTCTATGCATTCAGAATATTTTCAGCCATGGTAAGCAGCCAAGAGATAAACAAAGAATTAGTGTGAATAAATAGGAATGAGGGGGTGGGGTGGGCTACAAAAATTGACCATGTGTGGCACTTATTGCATAGTAAGAACTGGTTTAATCATTTCCAAAAATCCAAGGAGATGATGATTCAAGGAGCTGAATACTACTATTCTTCTTCATAAGATCAAAAAGAAAAATACTGGAAGTCTAAGACACAAGCCTGCCTATGACGGCATCTGGGTTGGATCCCAATGGCCTCTCTCCTCACCATCCGGCCACCACCACCCAACCACAAAACCACAAAGCAGCAGCCAAAGAACAAAAGATTATCTGTTAGATGCCAATGGCACGGCACACTGGATTTGACTGCAGGTGCCTTAAGGAGGTGGAGCTCCTAAGTAAAGCAGAAAACCATGACCAGAGAGGTTGAATAGAAAAGAAAAAAATCAGAAAAAGGAAGTAACTCCTGGGAAAGGCTGTCAGGACAGTGGCCATCCTAACAGCAGTCACCCTGATGTTCCACATGGCAACTGAGCTGTCCCAAGAAAGCTGGATGGATTTCACACATATAGTGTTCACAGGTGCTCCACCTCAACGTGCAGAAAACAGATCTGGATCTTCTTCTATTTACAAACACTTCACCGAAGCCATACAGTGTAGCCATTTCAGGCTCATTTTCGCTGAAGAGGATCAATAAAAGGTCTTCTAGGAACATACGTAACAGAATGCTACACTGCTTTCCTGAAAGGATCGTCTGGGAAGGGCAGTACATTGCTGGCGAGAGCCATATTTTCAGTTGCTTCTTAATGAAAAATTATAGAATGGCCAGAAATTCCACAGTGAAGGCAATAGGCAGCTATGGTGAAGACTTGCACACAGACTCTCTCCCAGTCACCACCATTGCACAAGCAGTGGATGTCCACAACCCGGAAGCATCTGCACAGTGGCCGAGACATGGCAGAAACCACAAAAAGCCTTGACTCAAGTGAGGCTCAACCCAAACGGCCACAAGCTGCCATCGAAAATGTCATCTGGGGCAGGGATTTAGCCCAGCGGATCCCACACAAGACACGTTCGTCACATACTGGAGTACCTAGGCTGGATGCCAGCTCCAGAACGCTCTAATGCTGACCCTGGCAGACAGCAGTGAGGGCTCTCGTATCAGATCCCCCTGCCACCCACCTGGGAAACCTGGATTGTGTTCCCAGAACCTGACTTCAGCCCTGACCCAGCCCGCATCATTTGGGGCATTTGAAGAATCAATGGGTGAACAGGGGTGCTCACTCGTGTATTCTCCCTCTTTCTCACACGGTCTCTAAAATAAACAAAAAATTTCAAAAACAGCACATTCTGTTTTTAAGAAAACTCCACACAGTAAAGATACGTTGCATGCTGACCCTATGCCCCTAGAACAGAAGGCAAAGGTTCATAGACAAACCAGAAGGTGCAAACATGCTCTGTGATCATCACCTGCACAACTTGATTTAAAATAATTGTTCAGGGCCCGGCGCGGTGGCGCAAGTGGTTAAGGTCCTCGCCTTGCACACCCCCAGGATCCCATATGGGCGCAGGTTCTATCCCAGCAGCCCCGCTTCCCTTCCAGCTCCCTGCCTGTGGCCCGGGAAAGCAGTCGAGGACGGCCCAAAGCTTTGGGACCCTGAACCCACACGGGAGACCCGGAAGAGGCTCCTGGCTTCGGATCGGCATAGCATCGGCTGTTGCGCTCACATGGGGAGTGAATCATCGGACAGAAGATCTTCCTCTCTGTATCTCCTCTCTGTATATCTGCCTTTCCAATAAAAAAATAATAAAAATAAATCTTTTAAAAAAAATAATTGTTCAGAAACATCCATTGGACAATGATTTAACACTTGATTCATTTGGCTTATCCTTAGAAAATAACGTCCTCTGAACTAATCTTTCCTTTCCAGTTTTTTTTTGGGGGGGGTCAGGGGGTTGTTTTTACTATTTTATTCTCTTCATGTTGTTGGAGATCCCACATGGGGCTATCATAGATGCAAAAGAACATGGGCCCTCAAATTCATGGAGATATTTAAACTTCAAAGCCCTCTGTTGACAGTTGAGGGATTAAGGGTGAAGACATCAATCTGACCATGGCATACCAGAAATGGGCCTGGCAGGAAGACTTGGGTGGCTAGCAACAGATTTTGCAGGAGGACTCTTATATAAGCTGAA